ATTTCTTGTAAGCTCTTCGTATTTGTATGAATATTACGAAAAAGTATTCCCCAAAAAATTATGATTTAAAACTTTTTTATTTTATTTGACGATGATTTTTAGTTTAAAAAAAATTATAACCCGTTTTCTGATTGGGACCTTCTAAGCTTTGGAATATTTTATATTTTTAAATATCGCTCTTTGCGTAAAAGCAAAAATGTCTATTTTAAAGTTATTTCAAATATTCTTTTGATGTCGCGTTACTTGTACCAACAAAAAGTATCATTTCGATTGGGAATTTTTCCACCAGTAGTAAAAATACTTGTGTAATTTTATATATTAAGTATATTCAAAAAGCAGGAGGCAATAAAAAAACGAAACAATATTAAAAACTACAAGAGTAGTATAAAAGTACATGTGTATAAAAGCATCGTCGTCATTACTGCCTGGGAAGTATATGTCGACTTCGCCTCAGCAAGTCCTACTAGTTGATCTGCCAATTGAGCTAGTTAACACTAATTGATCTAAATTGGTTGAATTGGATGTAATTGTGCAAAGCGACAGGGAACCTCCGATGCTCGAATATCTACGCTTCTATGGTTTCTTCTACAAGTATCACTGTTTAATGTTAATGTGCGGATATGCATTAGACTGCTTTTAAAATTGGATAGTGGGAAATATTGTAATTAAGAAAATTATTACAAATCGAGAAAAATTATTTGTTACTTCTAAAATCGATTAATACCCTCAAATTACTCTAATAAACCCTATAAAATTTTAATATTAATCAAAATTGCTTAGAACGTAAAAATCTGTGCAAAGTTAAAGTCTGAAATTTTAGTGTTCATTTCCTGAATACTTTGCTTTATCATGAAAATTTTCATTTTATGAGTAATATAAATTGCATAATTGCCATTTATTTTTACAATTAAGAAACAAACAAGTTATTTTTTTCAAAAATTTTATTCTTAAAATGTCAATAATTTCTTAAATCTAGGCCGTATAAATTTCATAGTAATGTGGAAGGTAATTGGATGCATTTTTTAAGCGTTACAATGGATAGAAAATATTTAAAAATTTTTTAAAATTAACTTTGAATAAATACTGTTTATGTTGTTGCATAAACGTTGTTATCATAAATAGAAAAATAAAAGTAATTTTAAGAAAGAAAAAAATAAATAAATTTTTATTCAAATATTTTTTTTAAGTCATGGGCAAAAATAGTTTTAAAAAAAATTAATTTTTTTTATTTAAAATATGTTCCTTAGAAACATAAAATTTATGTCCCAAAATATTTTTGAAGAAATATGCAAATGGAAAAAGTTATAGCAATTTTTATGACTGTTATTAACTCACTGCAATACGTTACGAAAACTTTGAACGCGTTTTTCTCGAAAACATATCTTTGAAAACGTGGAAACACTTTTCTGGAAATCTACTGAACGGATTTTAAAAAACCAAAAATCAATTCGATTCTTTATCTAAAAAACTACATACTCTCTAAATTCGAATTAGTGAAAATGTTTATTAATTTGAATTAGAGACAGACTTTTTGCTTTTGAATTAGTAAATTTTACTATAATAAATCAGTAGAAATTACTATTATAATTAGTAAAATTTACTAATTCGAAAGCAGAAAGTCAGTCACAAATTGAAATTAGTAAACATTTTTACTAATTCAAATTTAGAGAGTAGACAATAAATCTCTAAAATTTTACATTTTCGCCCCCTGTTCTTTTCTACGGGGGTGAATTGACTCAAAAACACATCGTTTTTTCTATTTTTGAGAAAAATGTGTATAAAAAATTATAAAAAATAGTTTTCGAGGTTTGTTGTCTAGAAAAAACCCTTATGAAGAGAATTCCGTTTGAATTTTTAATTTATATAAAATTGGTTGCCTGGAAACTGTCTTCCTGAATAAAATAGGTTTACCTTCTTGTAATATATGTAACAATATTCAAAAGGAATTTTTGCAATGACTATAATACATTTTTTACGATAAGAGTTTAAAAACGTGTATTTTTTACCAATTCTGCACAAGAAAGTCTACTTAAAAATACACTGATTAATCATATAAATATTAAAACTCATAGGATTTAAATTAAAAATGTTAAACTTTTATATTCATATAACAATTAAGAATGTACTCTTGGAACAATAAGATTTTGAAGTTAATTTTGGAATTTAACTGTATAATTAATAACTGAACTACTATTTGTTTCTTTGTTAAAGGGGGATGGGAGATAAGAGTTGTTTAATTTTTTTTCGCAATTTTCTAATTTGGTTTAAATGACTATATCTCTAAAATATTGTGTTAAAATTTCAAGTCAGTCGGATCAAAATTGACGGAGTTATGAGTATTGAACCAACCGTTTTGAAATTTGGAACAGTACTTCTTCACAAAATTCCTTATAGGTATCCTTGGGAGCTTTTTTTAAAAAAGAAAAAATTCCTAAATTTACAATAACAAATTATCCGATTTTTGGTAGAAAAGACGTCTTTTTGGCTTTCAAGTGCTACGAAAGATTGATTGATAATAATAACTTTAACATTTTTATTTTTTTGTTTTAATTGATTCTGTTGCTAGTTACAGTTTTATTCTTTATTTTTAGAGCTTTATTAATTGCAATTTTTGCTTAAATCGATTCTCTAAATACTCATTTAACATATTCAACACTTTTTTTTTCACAATATTTCACCTTCTAAATAACTTTTTGTCCACTTTAAAAGTGAATATATAGTAAAACCTAATCCGCCAGGGAATTCTCAATAATTTGCAATGAAAATTTGGAAAAATATTGTTCAAATGTTGCATATTATGTGAAAACTGATAAAATAAGTTAAAAACAAATTCTTAAAAATATGTATTTTTTACCGAATTAACATGACCCCTCCCTTTAACTACAAAAAAGATACGCGAACAGGATTTGGAATTGTCGTTTTGAATATAGGTATGCTTATTAGCCTGGTGGATCAAATTAATTGTCTTAGTTCAAAATATTTCTTAATTAGCACTCTTTAATATAAAAAAGTAAAATACTTATACATATACAATACAGCATATTATACTCACTCAATATTGAAGTAATTGTTGATCGGTTGACAGTTATTTTGCCTTTAAACAATCACCTGATTTAGCTGCGTGCTCTGCGTGCAATGTTTCTCATCAAACCAACAATGGTACCAACTTTGACTGTGAGCTGATGAATTCATTGTTTATATCTTCTGTATCTACCCAACTCTGAATGATATACATTTCCTTGAGAACCGCACCCTGTTGTCACTTTCCTATTTAGGCCAGCGTGAGAGAGAAAAGAACATGCATTTCTTCTGCAAGTATTTTCTAAATTACAATAATCGAAAAGATTGTTTAAATCCAAGCAGAAACGCGGTTGTAAAATGAAAAGTTGTAAATTAATGTAATGACACGCTGCAAGAAGTGCCTTACAGCCGGTGGCCGGTAGAGGGCAGAAGAATGCAGAGCGAGCACATAGAAGAAGAACACTCAGGAAGAAATTGTACAATTTATTGTAAGAAATGTTTATTTTAAATATTAAATAAATAAATTGAAACTATAACATTCAATTTTATTTTTCCCACTGTTATTACTCACATAACCTATAAAAACGTCTGAAATTTTAAACATGAATTTTAATTTTTAAAGAAGAATTAGACGCAAGTAATCGGAACCTCGGAACAAAAGTTAATCCAATGTCATAATTTCGTATTTTAAAAGAAAGACACTTTAATTTTAAAAATTGTTTTGGTGAAAGCGTAATGAATTTAATTTTAAATACATTGAAGTTGCATTTGAATAAAAATCATAATTTTCTGTCAATAAGAAGATAAGAAATGATTTAGATAGCATAACCTAAAAGTTTACAAACATTTCTTATTGACAAAGAATTGTAATTTTTATTCAAACGCATTGTTTTGGTAATTTAAAGAATTAATCAAAATTAATATTATAATTACATACTTAGGCCAAGTAAATATTCAAAATAATTATGTTCCATGCATAAAAATGTATCGATTTGTAAAAAAATGTTTTTCTTATTTCGAGAAATTGAAACAAATGACTTCCCTCATCACTATAAAATTTTATAAAATTTTCTCATTTATTTTTTTTTTTTAAACCTGTATTAATTTATTTTTATAACAATGTTTTTATATTTTATGACGTTCTATTTTTATTTAAACATTATCATAATTTACTGATTTAAAGATTTTTGTAATTTTTTCTAATAAAAAACATAAAAATAAAAAAAAAAACCAAAAATTATAACTCTTCTTGGTTATTTCAAAAAGTTTTTAAATTCAAAATTCGTTGTTAATAAATTTTCTCTTAATTTTAACAGTGACAAGTCGATTTGTGAGGTCCTTAAATTATTAAATTTATGTTTATCTAAATTTTTTTGACAAATGGATTTATCAGCTTTTTAAAACTTGCTCCATATTTAATGAACATCTAAATTTATAATAAACAATCTCTTATCTTGTTTTCTTAATATACCACATTTCGCATACAAATTTTTTTATTAGATATGATTGAAATGTTTAATTGTCTATTAAATTCTTCCACAATATGGCATCTCGATAAATAATATTAGTCAAAACTATATATATTGGTAACGCTACTTATACAGGATTTAAACATAACTAATACAACATTTAAAACAATCGAGTATGTAGTTAAATATTCATTTATTTTACATTTCAAATAGAAAATGCCGAAAAGCAAATAAATTGTTTTTAAGATTATTTAAATTAAAATTTTATAAACTTCAATTTGTTTTGTTAAAAATGTAACAAATATTTATTCTCAGCCAATTAAAACATATATATGTATATTTACGGAACAAAAATCTTTATTAGATTAACCAGAAATGGTGAATTAATTTCTTAATAAAAAATATTGTTAAAAAAGTTTGGGATTCACATTCTATTAGTTGTTGCAGTATTATAAAAAAACATTCTAAAAAATCCACGCGAATTAATGAACATTTACAAGAGAACATAAATTCTTTTTAGCTTATTTCTATTTTTATTTCTAATTAACCCACTATTATATGCCAAACTGGATTTACAATAATTATCTTGATATTTTATTAAAAATTACTTCGTTATTGATTCAGTTTTGCGAAAGTTTAATCTTTCGAATTTATTATTTTGTTTGTATTTTATTTTCGAATCTACTATTTGAAATTTAATTTCAAAAGTAAGTTAGAATAACTTGTCAAAAAATTCTTCCAACGTATATTTTTATAGAAAATGACTGTTTTGTAAAAAATTTCAAAATGCTTCGAGAAAATACATTACAATAGTAATTGAATGTTAATCCAAAACTCTAGACATTATATCGACATTATATACACAATAAACATCTTTTTATAATTTAAAATTATTTTACACTTCAATAAAATCACTATCCTTATTGACTTAATATGCTATTAAAAACTTTATATCAATAAATAATCAATACATAGCTTTATTTTTTGTTTTGTTTTTTAGAGCAATAACAAATATAACAATTTTAATAAAATAACTACGAATTTTCATTTAAAGAATAAGGCGCTTCCTCAGCTTGTGTACTTCCAGAAGAGTCTATAATTTCAAATCCATCAGACAAAGACATTTCTTGCGGCGATGACATCTGAATATTATTGTCTTCATTATGCGTTTCGCTATATCTTTCTGTTGATATGGATTCTTGAATTTCAGGTGCTTGGGATTCCAACACTGAAATAAAAAGTACAATCAACTTTGCGATTTTTAGAATATATTATGATTTTTAGAAGGTTATTCATTGACTCTTCTAAAAGAAGCCTAAGGCAGTAATACTTCATAACACTAATATTTTTGCTTGAATTCCCAAAGTCCATTCAACAGAACTTAAAGAAGATTATGAAACTGTCATACTAGTTTTGGAGAAAATTAAATATAAAGAACACAATTGGCAATCTATGGAGATTTTAAGATTATAAGTATCATGTTGGAACAACAAGCAGGTTTTACGAAAACAACTTGTTTTTTATGTTTGTGGGAAAGTAGAGATCGAAAGAATCATTACGTACAAAAAGAACGGCCCAAAAGAATATCTTTTACACCAGGTTCATAAATATCATGAAAAAACCTCTAATTGAACCCTCAAACGTAATTCCACCTTTTTTTATAAATTAAACTAGGGATGATGAAACAGTTTGTAAAGTCATTAGATAAAGAACAGAATACAATGTTCGTACCTTCGCTGGAACTACTTTCTACACTCGTTGAAGGTGGAGTACTTTCTTCTTCTGGTGTATGACTGTCTTCAAAATTGTTTGAATCAGAATCCAGTAATGAGAGTTCAGTTATGTAATTCTGCTGGGTTTGTTCAACACTTGCTGAAGTTCTATCAAGATTAACTGATGAAATAGTAGGTGTTATTCTTGAAGAGCGTGAATTATTATTAGATGTTGGTGCCTGTGTCGGTTGTGCATGATTCCCATAAAATAAATGTTGTAATTGAGCTTGTTCCAAAATAACAGGCAATTCGTAGTGATGGAAGAAATACAACATAGAATGCTGAAAAATAAAGAATATATTCTTAAACATCATTTATAACATTTTTATTTCAAAATTTAACAAACAGATTATTAAGCTTGGGCTGCTTGAGTATTTCTATTATTATTTACCCTCATCTCAACCACTCGTACAGTATCCTCCCCTTACTTCATACTTCACCCCATCTACTCAAGTACATTCTTTACCCATTCTTACCACTCTTTCATTCCTTATTTCATTCCGTGGGTTTTCTCTCAACAGCCATATTATTCTTCTTTCTCTCCATGTTCTATCCTCATCTATTCTTATCACACTTCTATTCAGTCTCCCTTTTAAGCTCATCACATCCATTTTATCTTCTTCACAACCGAACTCCACCAACTATAATCTTGGTATATCCGTATCACATATTCCTAACGCTTGTAACGTCTTGACATTTACTTCCAACCATGCATATTTCTATTTATTGCAACTTTATGCAGTTTACGTGTTTATTAATTTCCTATTGAATATAGCGCATTGTCCGTTTCTTATTATTCGGAACTATTCTAGAATTCGTCCCATGATCTATCGTGACTGACGCGAGCAAGACGTGCACTCTGAGGAGTTGAATCTAAAGGTACCGTCCCATGACGGCGTAAAAGCGTCGGCGTAAAGCAGAAATCGTGCGATAGAAAGAGATGAACAGATATCACGTTCTCACTCACTCACATGGTTTACGCTTTACGCCGACGCTTTCACGCCATCATGGGACGGTACCTTAACTTCGTTGGGGCCCGACGTATTTTTGCCCGACGCGAAAAATTGTAAAATAAGAAAACTCAATGGCAATTTATTATCCAGGTGGCACCCTGAGATAAGATAATTCATCTCCGTGGCTTAGCCTCAGGTGTAAGAGTAGCACCTTTATAAACCTGGGGTGCAGAGCAAGAAAAAGTCGCTACTCTCTCTTTGCCTTCACGCTGTACGCGACTACGATGGCTGTACTGTACAATGTATGCTATTGCTGTATTATAGTCTATCGCTACAAATAGAACTAAAGTTTGTGTCAACTTTAAACCGAAAATAAAATTTCTGACCTGGTCACTTCACCTGGAATGCCTCAAATTTAACATTAAAGAAGCTTACCTGTATAAATAGCCAGGAAGTAACTAAGGCCAAACTGCTGTACTGGCCATTAAACCTGTAGTGATATGCGTAGAACGAAAAGTGATATAGGTAGAAGAATCTGAAATGAAATATAATTATTTTATTAAATTGGCAAAATAATTTTTATTGTCAACTGTACGGATTTGTAAGAATTAATAGAGATTATAAGTGAGTCAGTGGAAGATCGTTTTATGGTAGTAAGAGAGAATTTTGAAAGAGTTTATGAAGCAGATGAGGAGAGAAATAAAGAGATTGATGCAGTTGATGAGGTGATGAAAAGAATACAGGTGATTGCAACCGATAGGAAATAGTGTGAATGGGATTCCAAAAATATGGTTGGTAGAGCTAGGAAGTGAGGAGAAGGAAGGAAAAGTGATGATGTTGAAAGGATGTGTTCAGAGGATAAATGAGGATGGAACATGGAGAGAGAAGAATAATACCGCTACTAGGAGAGATGGAATGGAAGAGAGGTAAGAATGGGTAGGCAGATGGTGTAAAATGGTGCGAGAAAGAAAATAAGTAACGTTAGGTTTTATAAAAGAATACTTTACCTTAGCCAATGCCTTTTTGTAATAGGAGTGTGGCAACAAATAGCATCATACTGGTCGCATATCCAAACTATGACGATAATGTAAAAAGCTGTAGTTGTATCGTTAAAGAATTCTGACATTATGGCCTCCATTCCTGAAATCAAATATTTACATCATGTTACTCTAAATAGTAAATTTATTTCCCTGTTTACATTATCGAATAAAATCCGAATACCGGAAGAAGGTAAGTTTCTTTTTGAATCTATCTGAAGTGATTTCGGTTTTCCTTCTGGGTTTCTATCAAAATTTGTATTTAATTCCATATTCTGGTCTTATCAATATTTCTATCCGATTTTTCTGTCGTTTGATCCTTTATGTGAAAATAAAGAATATTTTGAAAGATTTTAATCCGGATCCTTTAGAATCATGTTTAGTTTATATCCAGGCTTTAAAATTAATGTCCGGGAGTCTATTTTATTTCTACTCGATTTCAAGATTTTAAGTCACGGAACAACATTTGAATTTCTTTTGATATAAGCAGTTTATGTAAAATTAATTATGAATTTAACTTTTTTTTCAATATACAAATAAAAGTTTTAGCTACCCTAGTAATCTTCGGTAGCGCGAAGGTTATTTAGAAGCTTTAAAAGTATCATAAGCTTATATCTTAAAAAATTTGATTATTTCCACAAAAGTAATTCCAATTTATGTATAGCGACGCTGTATTCTGTTACGCGTAATTTGTTTTCTTTTATTGCAAATTATCAACTTTTAGAAAAATTGTCCATCAAAATGAGAATCCTTTTCTTGTTTCCTAAAAATTATAAGTTATTCTTCAATTACTTACCAACAAGAGCTAGAATAACGGTCAGAAGTGATGCAGCAGGAAAAGATACTGTCACATTGAATTCCAGCATCTGTAGCAGATCTACTACAAATTTAAAATATAAAATTTGTTAACACCGAAAAAAATTAATGCAACACAAATTTTTAAAAGGTAACACCACTTTTCAATGGGTGTAGAAACTTACCAATAAATATGAAAATTTGATGATGAGAGTACCTCAGAAGCATTGAAACAGACACCGTCTACAAAATATTTTAAAATTAATTATCTGAATATTATCGTTTATTCTCCTTCTTCTAAAGGTACACTGTTAAAAATTGGACTTCAATTTTACACCAAAAAGTTTTGAGATTAAAAAAACATAATTTTCAATCAAAGTTGGAGTCCGCTTTTTAACGGTGTGATTTGACTTTAAAATAATAATTTCTGGTAAAAAATTTCAAAAATTAAACACATGATATTATTGTCTTTAATTTAATACCATGTAATATATTTGAAATAAATAGATGATATACTCACAAATACAATCATGATAAAAAATGCTGCCAAGTAAGAAGTTTTTGCCATCCACATGCTTACAAACCGATAATGTTCTCCAGTTACAACGTTTCTAGAAAAAAGAGTATTTCTTTAGAGAAAACTTTACTGAAAACGAAATGTCACATGAGTACGCAGAGGATTAAAGGTACTAGTTTACCTCAAAAAGCCTTTGTTATCTTCTTGTTCCGCCAAAGTTTTAACACTAGCCATTAATAAATCATCATAACCTAAGAATTCATCAAGAATAAATCGTGAAAATGTGTCGCCAAAACATTCATCGTTTAAAGGATCTAATGTAACTATCTTCACTGGAATGTTCAGTCTTTGTCGGGCTGCAGGTGACAATCGTAAAAATCCATATTCTAAAGAATATTCCACGATATACTCGTCATCTGAAAGTGATAAACAAAAATTAACTCCAAATTATTTAATAATTCTAAATATGAATATTCGCCAAAAAGTATAATTATCTTAGCCGATATTTCTATAAAAATTAATCAGTATTTTCTAACGACAAAACTCTTACCTGCTTTCACGGCTTTTTCCAATTCAGGTACAGAACTTTTCAACTGATATACAGAGTTTTCAGAAATTATATTATTTGCATCTTCATTCGACATATTATCCAGAGGAATGTTTGAACGTATTTCACTTTGCATTGGCTGTAAATAATTTTTGAGTAAGAAAAAAGTAGTTGTTTATAAAATTAGCCTTTGTTATTAAAACTAATATTATACACACCGTACTATTTTCCATGTTCAATTCAGACAAAAGTTTTGTAGAAGAAATCGAACTAAGAGTGCTACTTGTTAAATTGTAATTAGTAATTTCATCCTGACTCAGAAGTTGCGTACTTTGAATCCCTACTACTCTACTATCAATCACATTTAAATGTCGAGAATTTCTTTTATTAACAACTTTTAGACTTTCACGTTCCTCATCTGCTGCTGATGGTTCAATATTTATAAAACTGTAAAATTATTAAAAAGTTGTTATTATTAAAGAATTATTAACCGAATGTTTTAATGAATTAAATATTAGATTAAATTAAATGTTTTATGTGTAGGTATATACTACAATATAATCTATTAAAATTACTTGAGACTTTTTCAATTGTATTTCTAACTTACCCATCTCTGGATAATATTCCAAGTACATTGGTTAGATCATCTACTTTAACTTGTCGCAGCTTTTCTTCTTTAGCATAACTCTTTTCTATACTATAATCATCGGCTGCATTCCTCAAGATTTCGACTCTAAGAATTCCATCTCGTGGCCAACCGTCTTTCACGTGTTCTAAGCAAGTTGTTGGTGTTCTTGAGAAAACTATATGAATATAAGCTAGTACAAAAAATGCCATTATGGCCTGCAACAAAGTTTCAAAACAGATACTATTTTAAAATCAATGATTACATCGAATTTTGGGGAAACAAAATATATACTTTATAGTGAGCAACTTAATTAGGGGGATGCCCATAAATTACGTTGTACTTTAAGAATGGGGCTACATAGTTTATGGACGATCACTTATTAGGAGTCATTAATTGAGGGACTGGATGCTATAAGGTGTTACGCGCCATGTTAAGTAAACGGCGCGTAACACCTTATAGCATCCAGACCCTCAATTAATTTATTATTAACCCTCTGCCTATGTTAACTTAACCCCATTTCAGTGTTCTTGAATGTAATTTCCATAGTCCTCACCAGACGTCAAAATAGAAGATTTTAGACCAAGTGGAGTAGAGTAGGCAAAGGGTTATATTCCATTGAAATTTAATTGATAGTTGAAAAAAAAAATTTTACATAATTTTATGAAATATTGTATAGATAATATTTACCTTCATTAAGATTAAAAATTCAATGAAACGTCTCACAGGTCTTGGAAAGGTTCTTGCATACGTTAAGGAAGCTTTGATAAATAGTGCATGAAACAGTCTGTCACGCATACGAAATAGAGGATTTTGATTGTTATTGGTTCTCGTAACATTCGCATTATTATTATTATTATTATTATTGTTATGATTATGATTATTATTATTATTGTTATTAAATGATGCACCAACTGCATTTGTTAAATTATGGTTATCTGCAGGTGCATCATTCTGGTTGTTTGGCAACGGTACAGCGGCTACATCTATTCGAGACATTTTTACTGTCTTAAATGAAAATTTCTTTTCTGAACAATCTATTTTATTCTCAATCTTTTTAATTCAACATCAGGAACTGATATAACCTGAAAAACGAAAAATACTTTTGTATTTGTGTAATAAAATTTTTCATCAAACACTACAATTTACAATAGTTTACTATAGGTTAAAATTTTTTTATATTTGTTGGCCAACCTACCTGTAATTAACAAAACTTTGTTTTCTGCTCCCATTTCCGTTGTAAAATTCGTGCATTTTTAATTCCTAATTAACAGTCATCATCACTGAAACAAAATGAAATACATCTTTCAATTTTTCTCATAAAGAAAGTAGGTATTTCGACCAATATTTTTATAGTTTTGACGATTTAAATGACGTGAAATTGGTAAATTTTCTCGAAATTGAAACCGGATCTTGTCTTATTTTCATCAAATACAACACTACAAAAAAAATGTAAATTTAAATTTTAAATCTGCGTTAATTATCAATGTAATCACACAAATGGTCACTCATGATTGATGAGGGAATTAATTTTCATTAAAGCAATATTTTTATCATTGCAATATTTGTCAGAAAGTATTAAATCAGTGTCAATAAGATTTCTGATTATTGCAAATTTTCTTTTGCATTTCGAATTCCTGAAATCAAGCTCAGAAGCAAATTTATCTCCAAGCCGAAATTTAGATTTGTAAATAAAAAACAACATTGCTCACTACGTTAATTTATAACAATTCACGATATCAACAAAGTACAAGAATATCATAATTATTTTTAAAAAAACTATGGATATTTTTTGAGCAAACGCTTATGTTAATAACCATAACAACCACCTTACAATCAATGACAAAAAAGTTCCAAAATTATCTTGAGAGGAAATTATCCTCATGTATGCATCACACTTATATTTATTAACATACCTCAAAAACAAACTTTCTGTTAAATATGTCAAACATAAGTTCTTTTCCAAAACTAATAAGAAGAATAAAAATATAAATTTTAATACCAATACTTTCAGTTCATTTCTAAATATGAAGAAAGGTGTTTCTGCACAATGAAGTTTACTGGCTTTTACTTTTTCAGTTTCATTTTTTGGAAAGAAATATTAACAACGTCTTCAACAAGTAATTACTTTGCTGGATTGATAAAGTATCTGAACGAAGAATCTAAATTGCATCAGGTAGTGTTCATCTTGGACGATTCAGTAAATAATACGGATCCAATAAAGAATTCTCTCAGGACAACAGTAAATTCGCATTTCCCATCTTTTAGTATCGGATACAATGACATGAAATACAACCATCTTGACAAATTGCACATGAAGTTACTTAGCCGACCAAGAAGTACTACACTCTTTATTTTACAATGGAAAGATGGGTCTACCCTTTACGAATTTGAAAAATTTTTGAACTTTTACAATTTTTTGATGGGATCATCAAAACCAAAATGTCTAGTATTAAACTCTTTTGCAACCACTCAAGATGGCATCAACAAAATCTTGCACAATTTTTGGCTAAATAAATATTTGGACGTTACTTTATTGTCATACAACAAACAACAATTACAAACAAAAATCGAAACAAGTTCTCCAGTGTTATCAATGCTAAATCAATTAAACCCATTTTTCAACAACTTCACCACTGAAGTGATATCATCAAATTTTCAATGGTTTCCAAATAAGCTTCTTGATATGAATGGTTACAAATTGAACTTTTCCTGCCAACCAACAAATGATTCATCCGCATACAAATTTAAACTTGCAACGAAATTTTTAAACATTTTAGCACATGATATGAATTTTGAACCCAATCTAATAATGTTGTTACATCCTCTGGGAAGAATAAATTCTGTCAAAAATAAAACAGAACGAAAACGAATCACTTCAAAATTCATAGATGACTTGACTAAATCAAATTCAGAGATTTGGCTACAATATATGTAATTCTGTCATGAATTGTGGGAAGTGTATTTACTGTCAAACTGCTAATACTTGAACTGAGTACTATTTTAAAGTATAGTTGTGAAATTTTTAGATATTTTAGCTTGTAACATTAATTTTGAACCAAAAAATCTAATCACCAATAAGAAGCATAAAAAATGCTTCAATACCACTAGTTGCACTTAATTTCTAGATGTAAAGTGAGGTACTTCGGCACAATGAAATTCACCCACATAGCAGAGATGAAAATTTCACTAATTTCACTCATTTTATTTGCTTATAGAGATAAATTATTTTTTAGGGCACTTTTGTAATATGAAATTTGCGAAAGGATAATTTATTAATTTTTTTTTTGAAAAAAGACGTTATTCGAAGCTTAGTGTCGACGTCAACTTCAGAGAGTTTCAAATTAAAATCTTTAAAATCTGAATCTTTCATACTTTTAATTAACAATTTTGTAGAATTAATTTTTTTTTAAATTTAATTGAATTTTTTTAAAATTATTTAAAGTTTTAATTTTCTAATATATATTTAATTGAAGAATTTCTAGAGAAAATTTTGACTATTTTTCTGACCTTAAAGAATATTCTGAATCACTCTAAAAATTATTAGGCACTCAAAAAAATGTTCTAATACTTTTATTTGCGAACAGATTTTCAAAGATTTTAATTTTAAATCTTTTCAAAATTCAATTATTTCTAAAAATTGCAATTGTTTATAACTTCTGAAAAATGTAATTATTATCTTTAATCATTTACCTAACAGAAATTAATTTTTAAATCAATTTTTATTAGAAAATTCTACGAGAATTCAATTATTTAAATACAAAAAAGAAAAAATTTATTGAATAATTCAATGTATCTTAAAATTGAATTCTCATAAAGAATTTTATCTACAAATTTTTAAATAATTGAATTTTTTCCACAAATTTTAATAAAAATTTTTAGAATAATTACATTTTTCGAGGAAAAAATTGTGTTAAAAATAATTGTAATTCTGCGATGAGTTTTATTATTTATGAAAATAATTGAATTTCTAAGCATAATTTTATTATTCATGAAAATACAGGAATTACTGTAACAAATTTTAACATTTATAAAAATAATTAATTTTTATGCGAAGAATTTTATTAACAATTTTTAAATAATTCAATGTTTATGTAGAATTTTATAAAAAAAAATTTTCAATAATTGAATTCTGTTGGGGAATTTTATTAAAATTTAGTAGATATTGAAAATCATCAAATTAAGATAAATTTTTGAAAATAGTTGAAATCTTGTCAAAAGTTTTAAAAATAATTGAATTTCGGTGAAGAATTTATCTATTCATGAAGATGTAATTGAATTCTTATGACGAATATTGTTAGTTATGAAAATAGTTGAATTTTGCAATGAATTTACTTAAAATTCCTGAAAATCATTGAATTTCTGAGAAGAATTTTGATAATAATTGACATTTTGACGAGAATTTTTAAAAAATTTTTGAAATACTATTAAACATATAAATTAAATAATTCAACTAGTTTTTCAAAAAAATTACTTCATTAAATAATTTTTAAGTAATAATTTGTTGATAGTTCTTGAAGAATTAAGTAAATAAATTATTATCAGAAACAGAAAAAATTCAAGGCTTTGTATTAGAAAAGAATTCAATTTTTTTTTCATTAGTTTTAATTAAATTCTCTGACTTTTCCCTGATTAAATTGTAAACAAATGCATATGAAAATTCTCGCAGAACTTTTCCGAAATTTATTTTAAAAAAATTAATTTAAAGAAGAATTTTAGTTAAAAATTGTAGAAAATAATAATTTAATTGAAATGATGGAAATAATTTAGAAGAAGTTACAGTAATAATATTCTTATAATATAAAATAATTATTTTATCACTCGGTCATCTTTAATTATTATAAGTTGTTGAATTTAAAAACGGTTTGAATTTAAAATTTTTGAAAATCTTAATTTCTATGGAAAAATAGAAATGATTAAACATTTATTTAAAAAAAAGTTATTCATGTTTTCGAATAATTTTACAATTAAAGAAATTCGTAAACAAATGTAAGAAAACTTTTTTTTTTGAGTATTTAATCATTTTAGAGTGAACTAGAATATTCTTTAGGGTCAGGGAAAAAGTCAAAATTTTGTCTGGAAATCAGGGAAAAACAAAATTAAATTTTTGTGGTAAACCCTTTATGAAATAATCTTAAAATCTAAAATTTTAATAACTTCTTCTTCCAAATCTTGAATAAAAATGCCAGCAAAAATTGTGTGAATAGAGAAACACATTGGTGTGCCAAATTTTTGGCAGTAAAATTTACTACTAATTTCTCTCAATTTCTGAATTTTTTTAAATTCAGAAAACCTTATAATTCTTATCAATTAAAAATTTGACTTTTAGTCTTTTACTGATAAACTAAAAGTAAAAAAAATAATTTTGAAAAGTCATGCTCTTTATTTTTGATTTAAAATAGTTTTCTTCTTCTAATATTAAAAAGCTACGTTCTTGTTTTGTTTTCTGAACAGGAAAATTATCGCGTTAAGACCGTTAAGACGTAATTGACTTCTTGAACTTCCCATTGTCAGTAAGCTTCAGAAAAAATGATTTGTTTCAATCAAACAAGTTCGCATAAAATTTCTTTTCATATTTAACTTTGTTCCTTTGATGAAATTTCCTTAGATGTTAGCTACTTTTGTTAGCAAAGGGAAAATAAATAAATCAATAAAATTTGTGGTTATGTTTATACGTTTGTTTTTATACTGGCGCACTGGCGACACCAAATTTGGAATTGACTATGTTCAGGATTACTTTCATTATTGGCCATCCATCAGGACAGCCTGAAAATATAAAAATCAGTTTTTCTCCAGATTAAAAAGTATTATCAACAAAAAATAATACACAAACACATACATTTAATATAACAATAACGTCACATATTTAAAAAAAAGTGACAAAGGAAATTTCTAAAAACACTAGTTCTACGAAGAAAATGAGAGATTTCAAAACTAGAATAATTAAATAGCATTTCGTTCTTCATTACATAATTAAAAAGTACAGCTGTCATTAAATATGTATGACTAAACTTTTAAAAACACTCACTCATATAATGAGACTGCAAAACAAGAATTTTGCTCCAAATTATAAAAATCACTTGTACGAACAATTGAAATATGCAGGAAGAAGTAAATATTTATAAATCATAACGTCTGTCATTTTCTAAGGATAAAAATACAGCAAACATGTCAATCAAATAACAAAAATATAAAGTTTAGATAGTTTACACTTCAATCTAGTATACATATATGTATATCCATAGAAGTAGACTAATAGAGACAAAAACAGAATATTCAACATGACCTATCTACAGACAAACTTAAGGGGTTTCCACAATAGACCTCTGTTGATTTGTGTCCTTTTCTATCGCATAAATCTCCTTCGCGAATCTATTGTGCGTCGGCCTAATAGCAGAGCCTGTGACGGCTGTGACTTTACGGACTTTACCCCACTTTACCCTAAGGGGGCATTTACACCTTCGGTAAAATTTTTCAGAACGGAAAATTTCTCATTGGAGTAAGAGAGACAGATATACAGTCTGTCTCTCTTACTCCAATATAGATTTTTCATTCTAGACAATTTTTACATTCCGCCACATTGAACGTGTAATTTACAGTATTTTACGTAAAGAACCTAAAATGACGCGTCACTTCCCATCTCTGCATTGTTACTGTTATGAAATCAAAATCAAGAAGAGTCTTCTTATAAGAAATAGACGAAATAGATATTGTTTACGAGTGTTATTAAAACAATAATAATTATGGATAATGCATATTTTACGCGTGCTATGAATTTTTGTAAATCTCAGCATGTAGATATGACAGACTTACTTGATGAAAAATCATATTTCTTTTCAAATATGTGCTACATTTGTCGCTGTTTCGGTGAAAAAGTCAACTTAAAAAGATGCAGTGCTTGCAATATGATTTCATACTGCAGTAAGGAACACCAGAAACAAGATTGGCCGAATCATAAGCAATTTTGCAGAGTTTTATGTCAAATTAAAAAGGATTGGAAAGTGGATAATTTATTTGAATCATTGAAAGTAAAAAGTGCCGATGAAAGAATGGCTGTTTTTAAACAGATTGATATTGATGGAAAGGGCGACATGTTGATAGTAAGTATACGAGATTTCAGTTTTTGATAGTCTTATTTCTTATTTTCATAGAATATTAGTCCCAGTTAAATATTATTTTTTTTATTATAAGAAGCTAACATTTTTTGCAACAAAACTTATTTAAAAAAAGTTGCCGTAAACGACAGTTGGTTTGTCATAAAAGAAAAGTTAGAATAAAGGTTATTTTACATTTTCTCGTGCACACACTATAGGGCCAATCCATACTGAAAATCCTGAAAATCATCCGAGAGTGGTTGCTGACATATTTTTAAAAAATGTAGAGTTAGTTTTGATTAAAAAATTAAAAATTAGAATTGTTTTTGTAAAAATTCAATATAAAAACTTAATAAAATAAAATCTGTAGTAATTGCTATATATTTAATCTTAAAATTTAATTTGCTTATATTCTATTCAATTTTTGAAATGAATTTGTTATTGCAGGAACTTTTGAAGGCAAAAGCAGTTACATTACTAAAAAGAAATTTAAAAGTAACAGAATTGCAAATGATCCAGTTACCAAGAGTTTGTTCAGTCTGTTTTGAAAGTAAACAAGAACTTCTTGTAAATTGCAAAAAATGCGCTCAAACTTCTTTTTGCAAGGAGCACTTAAATAATCGAGATCATCAAGAGGAATGTCATAAATGTATCTTCAGTGCCATTATTATACCACAATCAATATGCGAAATGACAAAAACAATAAAATTGTCCACTCACATCAAAATTGACAAATTACCATCCTCAATGATGGAATTTATGGAGACTTACGTAACAAAGAATTCAATTGATTTATATTCCGTGGAAGCAAAAGATTCATGGAATAAAGCATTTTCAGACAAATATTCTAGAGCCCTGTCAATAATCTTCGCCATGGAGAAATTAGACTTTTATAAAAATTCAGAAAGTCTAGTGATTCATCTTGTAGGCGCATCTTTGCCAGAGGAATTCTTTGACGATTGGGAAATATTGTTGCACTTTTTTAAGTCATTGCGAAAACTTTCAGTAATTCTCATTGGAGACGAATTAATTTCTTTTGACGATAAAGTGGAAAAACTTTGCAAATCCTGCAGAAAAGGAAACAAAAAAGTAATAATTGAAACGCATCATACGTTATATGATGCCTACTGTGGACAATCGAGTTTTAAAAAACCGGATATTATTGTATGCTTCAATGCAGGTCTCTATAGTTATGATTCTTGGGAAAAATCTGTACGAGTGTTTAATAAAGGACAGTGTCCTTTGGTAGTTACAGCTTATACTAAAGCTGAAAGTCTTGAAGACGAGAAAATGGTCAAATCCATATTTCCATGTGGAAATTGTGTCTACAGTGATTGCAATCCGTTTGAAAGTTTTACTTACACAAGACTTAGAATTGGGTTATCTATCAATTCTTCAAGTAATTTTATTTTCATCTATAAACATCTTGGCGAAAACATTACATCAAAGTGATATTTTACATCAAGAAAATTTATATACTATTTGCTTTTCTATACATTTACAGCAGAGCTGTCAGTAGATTTGTAAACAATGTTACAAAGTAACATGTGGTAAAATGTTTTATTATAACAATTTTTTAAATAATTAGTGTAAGATTAATAAACGGAAAATTTTCAACTTTAATTTCTCTTAGTTAAAACAATCTAAACTTTTGAATCATTTTTCCAAAATAGCAAATGTGATATAAGATTAATTGTTTATTAGCTTAAAATTATAAGAGTTTTATTATATTTTGTAAATGGTACATATAATTATATATATAATATGCATGTATACCAGAGACACGAAAGGGTTAAAACAATTTTTGCGTTCTTCAGGACTCGAACTAAGTCCGTTAATTTGCTTGAAGTCTGTAAAAGTCAGTTTTTTTGAAAAAATGTCAAAAAATTCCGTAATTTGATTGACAATAGACGAAAAGTTCGAAAATTGTACGACATAATTTGGAGAATTTACGAGAAATTACAAATGATTAACGAAATTTATTTATTTTCAAAAGTAATAAAATTCTTGGCAAAATTTCAATTATTTTCAAAATTTTTAATAGAATTCTTGGCAAAACTTCAATTATTTTCAAAATTTTTGGCAAAACTTCAATTAATTTCAGAATTTTCAAAATTCTTCCCTGAAATTCAGTTATTTTCAAAAATTTTAATAAAATTATTGTCAAAATTTCAATTATTTTCAATAATAATAAAATTCTTTTCTGAAATTCAATTATTTTCAAAAATTTTAGTAAAATTCTTTGCAAAATTTAAATTATTTAAAAATAATTTTTGACAAAATTCAATAATTTTTATTTTCATAAATAATAAATTTCTTTTTAGAAATTCAATTCTTTTTATAAATTAATAAAACTCATCAGGGAATATCAATATTATTTAATTATTCAATTTTAAGAAACATTCAATTATTCAAGAAATTATTTATTTTTGTTGTATTTAAATAATGAATTGTTGTCGAATTTTCCAATAAAAATTGATTTAAAAATTAATTTCAGTTAAAATTTTAGATAATAATTGAATTTTAGAAGGGGTATAGCTATTTTGTAAAGGTTTCAAATTAGAATCATTTAAAAATTTGAATTTTTCACCAATTCTGCAGAATTGATTATTTTGAAAAAATGTAATTGAATTTTTTTTTTTTTAATTAGATATTTGAAGTTTTTATTTTCTAATATTATTTAATTGAAGAATTTCCTAATAATCAGCGAATTTCGTAAAATTGAATTGTAGACGAAAGGATTTAAAAATTCCCAAGAAACTTTGTCAAAAATTATGAAAAATAATTGATTTAAAAAAGAATTTTAGTTAAAAATTGCAGAAAATAAGAATTGAATAATTGAAATGATGAAAATAATTTTGATGAAATTACAGTAATAATATTTTTGTTAGATAAAATAATGCTATGAGTGCAAATATAGCGAACGTATATATATATCTCCATCTCTCTCATACTGATGGCCTAGTTATAAAACGCTGGCATAACTAGGACATGAGTGTGAGAGAGATGGAGATATATTTTTGTTACATTTGCACTCATGTCCTAGTTAAGGGCAACGCAGAATAGAATCTTTAACCGGAACCGCAATCGTAACCGTAAGCGTAAGAATGAGTTAAAGAAGGATAGATATATTGTTTATCCTTCTCTAACTCATTCTCACGCTTACGGTTACGATTGCGGTTCCGGTTAAAGATTCTATTCTGCGTTGGCCTTTACTACTATATTTTAATTTTAACTATAATTTTACCAAAGTTTCACTAGATTTAACTATAATGTCACTATATTTTTACTAGAGAAGGACAAACATAATATTGATGTCCTCTCACTCATTCTTACGATTGCGGATTGTTATGTCCAAATGAAAAATACTACGAATCTCAACATGAATTACTAACATGAATATTTTTTATTCTTGTAAATGCTCAATAATAAGATAAAGCACATTCAGGTCAAGAATATTCTCATGCTCGAGAGTGCTCGAGAGAATTTCTAAAGCATTTAGAACATTACCGCAAGTATAAAAGCACCTTTACACCCACATTCTAAACTCACCGTTAAAGTAAACAGAGTACACTCGTCCACTCGCGCATTCCTTCTCTCTCCTGCCCACCACTGAAAGGCATATTTCATCAGGAGTGAGCAGTCTATTAGAATTGATCGATGCACATTACATAGACACATATTACAAGAGGGAATGAGAGAGAAATAGTTGCTAGAAATGTGTAATGAAAGAGAAGAGAATAGAAAATTAGTGAATAGCAGCGAGTGGGGTATCAATGGAATTGTGCAGTGTGTTATCGGTGGTGTCATGTCTCCTCATCGGTGCAAGAATCCTCTTTGTGTGGTGTAAAATTAGTAAGATTTATTTTTCCATTGATGCCTTTGTTCGTGTGGTTAAACCTGTATGGTTTGTGTTCGAGATTTATTGTGTTAAATGGACAAGCCGTCTGTCCTTGTCAAGGAAAGAATTTCAAGAATCACAGGAAGCCAAAGGACCTGAACAACAACAAAGTGTCAAAGTGTCCAGATAGTTGAGGAAGTGGCAGTGATCGCGGTCGTTCCCGTGATCAGTTCAATCAATCTGACTCATTGCTCTTGAGATTGAGTCTGGTGGAGGGTCTGAGAGCCTCGGCCTGAGAAATGAGAGAGTTCAAGGTCGTGGTACTGGGATCGGGCGGGGTGGGCAAAAGTGCTCTGACGGTTCAATTCGTGTCAGGATGTTTCATGGAGAAATACGATCCGACCATTGAGGATTTCTACAGGAAGGAGATCGAGGTTGATAACTCGCCGTGCGTTCTCGAGATCCTGGACACCGCCGGCACCGAGCAATTCGCCAGTATGCGCGACCTCTACATCAAAAACGGCCAGGGCTTCGTTGTTGTCTATAGTCTCACTAATCATCAAACTTTTCAGGTACTCTCTCTTCTCTATTAATCACCGAGTACAAAAATAAATATTTTGCGTCATTTTTTCTAAAGCCTTACTCTATTTTTCATACTGCTTTTTTCTTGTCGAAATATCTCTCGCTAATAAGTCACTATTCTCAGTATCTCGCCACAGTTGAGTCACTCATTAGTTAAGTAAATCACTTACAGTTACTTTTTTTAAAAAGCAACAGTCGAAAAGTAAAAGTTACAGTTAACCACGTTACTCTTAAAGTCATTGTCAAATTATATTATACTTTAAATAAAATCAGTCTTACTACATTGTCTTAATTCGAATATAATTTTAACTCTGATTTTAACTCTGATAGCAATGTACCAAAACATTGCACTACGATTTCGATAATTTTCCGATGTTACCGATTCGTTAATGGAAATAACCTACAAATGAAAATTAGTACAAAACAAAAGCAAACCAATTGGCTAATTTCAAAAATTCTTTATTCGAAAAAAATTATTCTAAGCAAACCCATTGATTTATTTATTCAAAAATTAAATTATATTTTTATATTAATTTTTTAAATTTTTATGTATTTTACAATTTTCATGTCTTATTTAATTTTTAGGGAAAAAAAAATAGGAAAAATGTAACAAGTACTTATTTATAAAGTTTGCCTTTATACTACTATCTTAATTTTTTTATTGTTTTTTTTATTCTTATTGTGCAGTAATTTCGCTATCACTTGGAGCGCCATTTTAGATATGCGAAAATGTATTATGAAGTTTTTCAATGAAGCCGAAGTCCGCAATTTTTTAAAAAACGAACAAATGATACAGAATATTTTTAAGTTAATTCGTCTCAAATTTTGATATTGCAAACATTTTTGAGAAATTAACTTTTTTTTTAAAGAATAGTTGCCACATTAAATTTGAAACTAAAATAAATATTTTCTTTTTTTTCACTTTTAAAAACCCTGTGGACTTCAGTCTCGCATGTTTTTCAAACAATGAAAACTGGAGTGTAGAAAAAGTAACTAAAAACATAATTTTATTATAAAGTAAAGAGTTAACTATTACAATAGTCAATAGTCAACTTACCGACAAGGCGGATTTAAATTGATTAAAAATCGGTAATCGACTTTTCTTGAAAAATTTTAATTATTTGTCAGTAAAGTCAGGGAAATGATAGGAAAAAAAATTTGTTGTCAGGGAAATTAATAAAATTAAGACTTTTTTCGACTTATTTTCAAACATTGCGAATTTTTCGACTTTTCTTACAAATATTGCAGAAAATACCACAATTTTTAGTAAAAAAAAACTGCAACTTTTTTCGATTTTTATTAGTGCGAAAAATAACTATAAATAAATCTTTCAAAATTTATTTTTGAATAATTTTTTAAGATAATTAAATTTTTCAAATATCTCTATAGTCTATACCTAATAAAAATAGTTTTGAATAATTGAAATTTTGTAATATTTAATTGAAAATAATAATTTTTTTTCAAGTTTTTTGTTGCAATTTTTGAAAATCAACTTTAGAAGAATGTCAATTGCAAATTTTGAAAATAATTAAATTATCAAAAATTTTAATGAAATATCTTTAAATATAAATTTAAAAATGAGAATTAGCTTCTAATTTTTTAAAACTCAATATTTTCACTATTCTCAATTAAATATGGAAATATTTAATTGAAAATAGATAATAGAAAATAGAAAATTCAAATACCAATATACAAAAAATAATAACATTTTAGAATTATTTTTAACATTTTGGAGAAAAAAGTCATGTTCAAAATTTTTAATTCAAATTCATTAAAAAATTTAATAGTTTTTTTTAAATTATACAAAAAATTATTTTAGGACTTTCAAATTATTTTCAAAAAATTACATTAAAATATTTTAATAACTAATTCTTAGAAATATTTTATCATAATTTTTTAAGATTCTTTTTTTAAAGATTTTTTAAGATCTTGGAATAAAGGAAATAAAAATTTATAAAAATTCACTTTGATAATTGTTTTCAAAAATTCAATTGTTTTTTAAAAATTTTATCTTTCAATTGTTTCTTTATTATTTTTTTTCAAAATATTAATTCTTAATAACTCAAGAAAAAAAACATGAACAGTTACAATTGCGTTATAAAAAATTATTAAAATTTAAATCTTACTCACTTTCCGTAAACTTCCATATTTTCCTGTTAAAAGAATTTTGTCAGGGAAAATAATTTTAATGTCAGTAAATTGTCAGGGAAATGAATTCTTATAATTTTTTAAATTTCAATTATTTTCACTATTTTTAATTAAATATTTTAAAAAATTCAAAATATCTATAACAAAGTGTCCGCAAGTCAGGGAAAAACTGGAAATCAGGGAAAAGTCAAGGAATTATAAAAATTCTTCAAATGTCAGGGAATTTTAATCGAACGAAACCACAAATTAGAAAACCTTGCTAAAATGAATATTTGTAACGCGATATGAAGAAAGAGACCTTAGAAGCAAAAAATTATAGGTTATGTTTGCAATTTTTTAAACGAAAATACAAAAAAAAGAATCAATTGTCAATGTGAATTATTAATGTTTAAGTCTTCATTACAACTAAAATATTTAATAAACACTGATTTTAGTTTACAATAAGTAAAAAGAAACTTTCAAACAAGAAAAAAGTAATGCTAAAATAACCTTAAAGTGATTTGCTTGTAAGGTCCCTTTCTTCAGAACGCGTCACATTTAGTTATTGTGTTTAGACTTTATCTTATGTTTTTCTTTATAAATAAAATTGTTACTTAAAATGCATTATAAAAATTTTAATCAGCAATGTAATATATTCAAAAATTCAAAAATTTTAAGGCGGTGGCAAAATCGATGCGATTTTCCCATTGTAGCTCAATTTAAAAATCCAATCGACTTTGAAGTTGATTGGATTTTTACTTTAAAAAAAGTTTCTTCTTAGCATCTTTAAAAATCCAAACGACTTTAAAGTCGATTGGATTTTTACATTGAGCTTCAATGGAAAAATCGCATCGACTTTGACACTGCCTTGAGTCCCTATATACTACTTCGTGGTTAAGTATTATTACCGGTATTGTAAAAGGTTCGCCTCAGTTTGGCACTGACTCCTCTACTCTACTAAACTAAGAGGCCCTCTACTACACTATACGCATCGCCTATTCTTCATTTTTCAATAGACTTTTTTTTACAGAATGGTTTTAACATTCTAAGGGGTCGTTCATAAACTACGTAGCTACGTGGTTTATGAACAAAACCTAACAGGTACTGTATTTTTTAAGAAGTTATAAACAATTTATTTTGTATATATATTATTAAACATATTTATATTAAAAAATGTAGGTACAAAATAAGAATTAATTTATTTAAAAAATTTTTAAATTTTGGTTGACAATGTTTGGCCAATATTAATAACCAAGGCTTAGCAAACCCTTCAACATCCCAACCATTGGCCATTTTTTTTTCCCTTTATTGGACCGATATATATATACGAAGCCTACAATGAAAGTCACGATTTATTTGAATCAAACGCACGTTTTGCTTAAATCAAACTTAAAATATCTTTGCTATACAGTCAAATATATTTAAATTTAATTGAAACATATTTTTTGGTTCTATTTTTGGTAACAGTAAAAACATTTGTACATGCTCTAATATTATGTTTATTTAAAAAGAATTTTAATCTCGATTTTAATTATTTAAAATGTTTGAATGATGAAACACTTTGCACTTTGTCACAGACGTGTTAGATAATATATTTTTATTTTGCAGGTTAACTTTTAAAAATAATATAACTTTAATAATTTTACTTGATATGCAAATTAATGAAAGAAGAAATATTAAAAGTAATCGTTTAGTTAAAAAAATTTCAAATACAGAATTTTTTGTAGATAAATACCTACAAAATGAATATTTTTTGCATATGGAAATAAAATATATAAGTAATTGTTGAGTGGAATTTTCCTCTCACTTCGAGATTTTTTTTTGCGGTGTGATTTCTTTAAACACATAAAAGTGAGCTACTTGGAGAATCACCCACATTTTAGAGGATCCTATGAGTAATCTTATAGGTGACCCCTATCTTATGAGATATGAGACGGGTGCCTTTATGTAAGTTATACCTATATGTATGGGTGACTCTATATCATAGTAATTTGAATGGAGAAAAATTCTTTTCATTATTATTTAAAAATAGATTTATATTTTTTTAATCCTTTCTATTAATAACATGTGGAAAAAGTGACTCGACAATTTTTTAAGTTAAAAAGATTTTCTATAATTGAATTAAATAATATTTTGTCACACATAAAATTTATCGCAAATAATTTTACTTATTTAAGTTATAAGCAAAAAACAGCCAGTTTATAGGAATTTTTGGAAACAGGTAAATCGAAACTAAAAACCGTTTCAAAGTTGAAGCTGAAATTTTTATTTAAACACGGAGAAAAATTCTTTTTTAATAATTACAATAGTCTATATTACAGTTCGGATATGTGACCACTTTTTATAATGAGTACAAACATAAAAGTACCTCTTACAATAGCTTTAGTTATAATTACTACTCAATTTTTAACACATATCATATTTTTCGTTATCATTACAAGATAAGTGGTCACATATCCGAACTGTAATATAGACTATTGTAATCATTAAAAAATAATTTTTTCCGTGAACGGTTTTATGGCAGCATAACCATGTAACCCCCCCTCACTTACAATTTTTTACCTAGAGAGTAAAAAATTTTCATACATTTGTATTTTCACGTGTAGATTATAGAAAAAATACGAACAAGATTGGAGTTGATCTTCACCGTGTCTACAGCGAAAGACTCGCAATTTTTTACAAATTCTTTAAAATACGTTTATTCCCCCTTCTAGAGATTACAATTTTTAACCCATATGTTAAGACCGTCAGAGTATTTGCTAAAATATGGGTTCCAGACTTTATCGGCACATACAACTTTTGAGCGAACAAGAGAGTTAAACAAAGTAAGGATGGTATTAAGTTGTTTGAAGTCTTAGGTACTACGAATCAAAAATCCCAAAGTCCTTGATGCACTAGTAACTAGTTTGCTATAATGTTCGTGAAAATTTAGATTAGAGTCAAAAGTGACACCTAAATTGCAGGTGGAAAATTCTCTTTGCAATGGAGTCTGGTTTATAGTGAAAGCAAAGAATATTTGAGATTTAGATCTGGAGAAGGTAAGAACGTGACATTTAGTGAGATTAATTCTTAATTTGTTTGTGACACACCAGCTTGAAAATTTATTATAATGTATTTTTGAACTTTTCAAGTAACCTAAGGGAAAAGTCAGGGATTTTTATTAAAAGTAAAAAAAAAAATTAAATTTTAGAATTATTTATAAGAAAATTCTGAATGTTGGTGTCTTTTTTGTTTGCCTCACAAACTATGAAATTGACAAGAATTTTAATACAAAACTTTCAATTTTTTCTGTTTCTGACAGTAATTTCTTTTTAACTAACTTAATTCTTCAAGAACTATGTATCATCAAATTATTACTTGGAAATTATTTAATGAATAATTTTACTTCAAAATTATCAAAATTAATTAGATTTCAAAACAGTTGCGTTTAAAATCTGCATAAATCGATGAACTTCAAAGGCTTCAATATAAAATTTTTAAAAATTTCAATTTTTAATAAATTTAAATAGAAATTTTAAGAACAAATGATTACAGAAATTTAATTATTTTCAAAAATTTATAAACATTCTCGTCAAAATTTCAATTATTTTTATAAATAATACAATTCTTCTCCGAAATTCAATAATTTTCAAAAAAATTTAATAAAATTCTTGGCAAAATTTCAATTATTTTCAAAACTTTTCCTCATTTCAATTATTTTTAATATCCACTATTTTAATAAAATTTTCCAAAAGAATTCAATTATTTTCAATACAATTCTTCTTAAGAATTCAATTATTTTGACAAATAATATATTTTTTTTATGTGAATTCAATTATTTGAAAAAAATTTGAATAAAATTCTTCGCAAGAAATCAATTATTTTCATAAATAATAAAATTTTTCTCGAGAATTCAATTATTACAAAAATTTTGATAAAATGCTTTATAAATTTGAAAAATTTTAATAAAATTGACTATAGAATACAATTATTTTTTACTGTCAAAAATGTTTGTAAAAATCTTCGAAACAATTCAATTATTTTTTTAAAAAAGTAAAATTCTTTGAAGAAATTCAATTATTTAAGAAATTTTAATTAAATTCTTCCCAAGAATTCAATTATTTTCAATTTTTTAATGAAATTTCTCGATGAAATTTAATTATTTTCAAAATGTTATAAAAAATTCTGAGAAATTCAATTATTTAAAAAATTTGAATAAAATTCTTCACAAGAAATTAATTTAATATTATAAATAATAATATTTTTCTCCGGAATTCAATTATTTTTGCAAATAAAATTCTTCACAGGAATTGAATTCTTTAAAACTTTTTTTTAATAAAATTCGTTGCAAGAATTAAATTACTTTTATAAATAACAATATTTATAGCAGAGTTTCAATTATTTTTCATGTACAAATTTACATAAACTGATAGAAAATTGCATTTATTCTTTATAATTTTTTTTAAAATTCGCCGAAAGAATTCAATTATTTTTAGAATTTTTTTATAAATTTCTTTAAAAAAATTCAATTTTAAGAAATATTCAATTATTTAATACATTATTTATCTTTGTATTTAAATAATTGAATTTTCGAACAATTTTCTCATGAAAAATGATTAAAAATGAATTTCACTTAAAATTTTAAATTATAATTGAATATTAAAAGCATCATAGCGTGAATTTTTATAAATAAAGTGAATTTTGAAAAGGGTTGAATAATTAAAATCTTTGAAAATTTGAATTTATAGTTGCAATATTCTTATAATATAAAATAATGATTTTATCACTTTGTCATTTTTAATTTTTTACAAAACGTGAAGAAATCGATTGCTCTGAGTCAAAGACTCGGAGTGATCGATTTCTTCATGTTTTATAACAATTTTTTTATAAATTGTTCAATTTCAGAAGGTTTGGATTTGAAATCCTTAATTCGTATAGAAAAATAATAATGATTAAGTATTTATTTAAAAAAGAAGTTATTGATGTTGTCGAATAATTTTACTTTTGAAGAAATTTGTAAATAAATGTAATAGAACATTTCTTTGAGTAACTAATAATTTTTGAAGTGAATCGGTATTATATTCTTCAGGGTCAGGGAGAAAGTCAAAATTTTGTCTGGAAATCAGGGAAAAACAAAATTAAATGGCAACCCTGTTAATAAATAGACTTTGTAGGTAGGCTAATATTATGTTTGATGAAATTGATTTTTTTTATACAAACGTAACAAGGTTTATGTGACTTCTTAGTCGCTATTTGTTAGACACAATTTTGTATGCTTTGAATTATGAATAAATAAATGTAGGTTAAAAACTGTAATCTCTTGGAGGGTACTCTGTAGTAAAACTAGGTAATCTAGTAAGTGTATTTTAAAGGATTTCTACACGAAGCTACTTGATATTTTAAATGAAAAAAGTGAAGGAAAATATAATAACTTTTTAACGTTGTCTATTTTTTCAGGATATTAAAGCTATGAAAGAGTTGATAACCCGTGTGAAAGGAACAGAAAGAGTGCCAGTTCTCCTGGTCGCCAACAAACTTGATCTTGAGCATCAACGTGAAGTAGATTCTGCTGAGGGAACAGCATTGGCACAGATTTGGGGTTGTCCATTCGTAGAGGCCTCTGCTAAAAATCGCACTAACGTCAATGAAATGTTCGCTGAAATTGTACGGGAAATGAACTTCAGTCCTGAGAAAGAGAAGAAGAGTTACTGCTGTTGCAGTGTTCTTTAATACTTAATCAAAATTTCACATCGGGCAGACTGAATGACACTAGGTAAATAGGAGCAACATTCAATTGTTGTCCCTATGAACTTCTATATTTCTTTCATCTTCCCCGCTTCCTCCTTCAGGGCTAACGGGGTCGTGCTGTGAACTCGCAAATCTTGTAAGAATAATTTATAACGTAAAGAAAGCTCAACAAAAAGACTATTAATAGAGAGAGACTCGTGAGTTTTCATTTTCTATCGAAGAAACGACACTAATCGTGAACATATTTTAATATACATAGATAGTATTATGTGTAATATTATTGTAATATATAGCAATAAAAGTAGACGAATAAATGGTAAGCTAAATCTGCGGAACAGGACCAATGCATGGAGGAGGGACACGTGGATTTTGTAGATGGTTACAAAAGAAAAAGTCCTGCGTTACTGGTGATCCACTGGTAATGGCTAAACCAAACTCCATATGATTAGATTTTTACTTTACATTCGTAAGAAAATTTACTTTCAAGAATATTCCACTTTTATTCTGATCAAATTTCAGAAAAATCTTTCATTGCTAAATTCATTCTTTTACTATTTTAAATTTTAAATAGCTTTTCTTTTAAGTTTTCTTGAAATTTCCACCGCGACAACAAAAATGTTTTAAAAAATGTTTTATATAATCAGAATTTGATTACATGCTTTTATATCGATTTTTTAATGAAATTATATTAATGTAATAAAACTGTAATTAAAGCACAAATTAAAAATACTAAAAAAAAGAGTAATACGCCTAACCGACTGAAAATACATACAATGTTTAGAACAATTTAGAAATCAGCATCACGATAGAAAGAAAACGTTGAATGATAAATTGAATTATGTACAGAACCAAATTAATTTTTATCATCGTAATCACCAAATTTGCTATTGAAGGAAGATTTAGGAGACAATAATATAAAAGTTCTATTATTGCATGTAACCTTTCAGTCAATCTTGTGCAATAATATGAAAATATTAAATACCGTTTTCTATGTAAATGTATTGGAAGGCCGAATGCGATATTTTCATCGTTAAAATAAGAGTTTTAATGAAGAAGAGAGTAATACTTGAAATTAAACTTTTTAACTCTTAACTTTTAAAGGAGTTTAAAAATGTTTGTTAATTAAATTTAGAAATATGTAGGTTTAAAATAAAGAAATTTCGTTTGTTTATTATATACTCTCTTCCTTACATATAATATGCAGATACACTTTTTTTTGTCTGCATTTATAAATTTATACCTTATAGAAATTCGAACATGCGACAAAGATTTCATTTTTATTGAGGTTATTAATACTTGTGTAAAAATGTTATTATGAGGTGTGGCTGTAATGTGTGTGACTGTGCGTGTAAATGAAGATAATGTGAATAAGGAAAACAAGAAATTTTTTTTTTAGAAAGCAGAACAATAAAAAAATTTGAGACAAAAAAAAACAAAAGTTAATTAACATTGTGGATAATTTCCACTATTTTCTTATTTCAATGCAGTAGCTCGAAAATTTGTAAATATATTTATCAGGGCACGTGTTCTCAAATTCTAATAGTAGAAGAGAAGAAGAAGACGGTTTTAATTGTTTATTAAAAATATATTTGGAATGGCATGGTATTATCTTATTTTGCACGTTTGAGATGTTACTCTCATTTTTATGTACATTATTATTGCAGTAAATGTAAAAAGTATGTTTTAATTATTGAGTTTTATTATTAGACATTCAAAGTCTTGATTCCTTTAGAAAAATATATTTATCTTTTTTGCCATAATCACTGTCAGAATTTATAAAAATCTTCTTTTTGAGTTGAGCAAATCTTATAAAAGAATTTATTAATATTGTACTAAAATCTATAAAAATAAGCAAGAAATGAATTACAACAAGATTTTTCAAAAAGTGATAATTAAATTGGACTCAATACTGCCTGATAGTAAAGATTTTGAAAATATATCCACGATATGCAATAGTCAAGTATCATATGGATGTCCCCTAAGAACCTAAGATTTATAGTTCCAATAAATTGATTGATTCGGGAAAATTGTTAACTTCTTCAAATTTAATATTTATACTTCCAGTTGATAAAAACGGCTCTTAATGTTTCAGTAGTTTATAAAAGTAAAATACGCATTAATTTATGAAGAATCTTATAGTGATCTGAAATTGCAAATCCGTTAGTTTTTAATTTTTATTGTCCGCCATATTGGATCAGCCATTTTGAATTTTTAAAATCTGACTTCAAATTCATAATCAGTGACACCACCTTTATTTTGACCCCTTTTAAATTAAATCATTAAACGAGGTAATATTTTTTCTTGCATCATTTTGAACCTAAAAGCATATAAGATGGTTAAAAATATTTCATTTTAGTTTTTGAAGAGGTTAGAATTTTTTTTCTTTCACCTATTGCATATTATTGCAAATCCATGCGAGAAGTTGTTTAAAATTATAAAATATACTTGGAAAAAAATTGGCGTTTAAAAATATTAAAAACTGTAACAGAAGATCGATTTTTAATATTCAAATCTTTAAAATTTGCCGAAATTTCGAAAGCCCTGAACCTTTAAATTTTTAAAATTTGATGCGCTGATTCTAAAAAACAGCTAAAATTGACGTTTAGCTCATTTTCATGGTAAAAATCATAGCCTAACTAAAGCTTTTATGGTTTACTTCATATTTACCGAAATAAGTGAAAAAAATTCATGATTTTTATGGTTTTTACCGTGAAAATGAGCTAAACGTCAATTTTAACTATGCTTTTTAGAATCAGCGCATCAAATTTTTAAAAAATTAATTAAAGGTTCAGGTCTTTCGAAATTTTGGCAAAATTTAAAGATTTGAATATTAAAAATCGATCGCAGTTGAATTTTTGCACTATGTGAAAGGCTTTTTTTCACATAAAAGAGAAAAATGATTTCAGATCGCTATAGGGTACCTACAGATTAAAAAAAAATTAAGACTGTTATTAGAAGAACCTAATCTGTAGGGTGATATTTTAAAAAATACAATTCAATTAAGGAGGTAAATGACTTTAAAATTTATATCATTTTTTTGTTCGAACCTCAGAATCAGGAATAAAACTATACTTTCTCGATGGTTGTTCAAGTTCTTTGTTATTGAAATTAACTGAATGTCTTGAAGTACTTTAGGTTCTGGAGATATTTTAACTTAGAAGCCTAAAAACAACGTATATACTATAATTGAAGTAACATAACAACAATATATATATAACAGGATTGCCACAGGTCAACGAAGTCAGGAAATTCAGGGAAAAGTGCTGGGAAAAATTAAATTTTTAGAATTTAGAAGATATTGAAATCAATAAAACCACATAAAACTGACTCAATATTAAAGATAACTTTATTGAAATAATAACATTGCAATGATGTCTGGAAAATATAACACTTCTCACTTGCAGATTGCTCTATAACTCTGGTTCTACTAATTAGCCTGCCTTTAAAGTACTCTTGTGCAACGTTGCCTGTTTATATGTTTAACTATCTAATAACATTTTATTTCTAGTTACCCTACATTTTTAAATTGAAGAAATGTTTTCTACTCCTTGACCCAGAGATTTGATTCACGAAAAGCATGCGGTTCTCAAAGATAGCGTCGTCGGCATGTTTTTTTTCTGTTTTGAGAAACTAAAAAATTAAACCAATTTATGCAAAAGTTTTATATTGAAGCAACATTCGAAAAGGTTTTAACACCCTAGGATGAATGGAGAAAGTGAGATCTAGTGTGTTTTACAAATAATTATTTGAGTAACACACTAGAATCTATCAAGAAACAATCCAAAAAAGTGATGATGCGTCAACCTACTGGCTACTGCTAACTTCACAAATTTAACAGACACACTTTCGTCGTTCCTAATGTGATAGAAAAGGACAAATAGTATATTTTCATGCATTTCGTTCGTGAACCTATTGTGCTTAGGGGTTATTCAGAAACGTACAGAGTACAAAATTTTTTTTCACTACCAAAAATATGAAACCATTTCTTCCAAAAATTATCATATAAACGACAGTGTCAACAGTATTAGTTTTACTTTGAAAACCAAGTTTTTGACGCTCATTGCCAACGCTAACTTCAAGGACTTGAATTTTTTAAAAATGGAGAGCTTCTGGGTCATTATAGCGATTTTCAAATGTTTTAGCATAATCTTAAATAGTATTTAAAATCGGAAAACACTTGAAGTGTAATCTGCAGTATCAATTTTAATTGACTGTAAATATACTACAGTAAAAAGAAGTTTTGAAAAAGTACCAAGATTGGATATAAAGTATCCATAAGAGGGTAAGTATAGTATTATGTATGAAGTATCTTGCTCGTAATCATGTCACCTGAATATCTTTTCTCAAATTTTTGTCAACACTCTGAAATTTGTTTCACTAACATTTTCGTTATTCGAATACTGAACCTCAACCTAACAGTTAAAAACAGATGGAACAGCTCCTTTTTTTAATGTTGCTTTTTCTTCAGGTATTTATTTTTCAAATTAATTTTAATTACATTCAGCAATTTTTAAATCAACAGTATGTTTAAAATAAAATATTTTAAATAACATGAACCAAAATTTTTCATTTTCAAAAAAATAAAAAGACATGACGCGCACTGAAGAAAGGTACCTGAAAAAAAATTCAGTTTTTATTAATTATTTCATTAAAATTAAAATAAGAGATTATTGAATATACCCTAACCATACTCGTATGTCTTGTCAATATCATTTTTTCAATGTTTTTTGTGTTGATTTTCTTTGTTTATTTTTAATTCAAACTTTTAAAACATGATCTATAATTTTTGGCTTCTTAGGTCCTTTTCTTCATATCGCGTCACATGTTTAATTAAATTACCTCCATCCGCCATGATTATCATAAATTTTGTAAATTTTAGGTGGTCGTGTTAGATTGCAAAAATTGAATTCGATGCGCAGTTGAGTTCTATGGCTCCTACGGCTGCGCAATACTTTTTTTACCTCTCAAACACAGTGCTACGTACATATAATTAAACATTATTGTACCTTGGAGAAAATAAATCAACTTTCTTGAAGCTATTTGTAACCGACATTATAGTAATTTCTATTTAAAAATTCAACCGAACGCCTAAAGGGGATACCAAAGTGCGATGTAATTTTTACACTGAACTTTAATATGGAAAAATCGCATCTACTTTGACATCCTCTTAATTTTAATAACATAGATAGGTTTATAAAGTTTTAGACCCGAGCAATGAAAACCTGTTCCTAATGTGAATTTGAACGCTGAACTCGAATCAAAAGTCCGTTTTTTTACTACACGTCAGATTTTTGAGAATAAATTTTTTATTCCAACTATTAGCGAATTTAGAGTTGTGCAAATTCTCAAATGTAGAAAAAAGTAGCTTTTAGTGTTACAAATCTAAAAAAAAGTATCCAAATCCATGCGAGAAGCGTTGTTTAAAATTGAGTCACTGATTACGAATTTGAACTCAGATTTTAAAAATTCAAAATGGCTGATCCAATATGTGGGACAAAAAAAATTAAAAGTTTTAAAATTTGACTTCATTTTCGTAATCAGAGACCCCGAAAACCCACGAGTATAACATATTTCAAGCAAATGCTATTGATTTTTTAATTTTGTTCCACCATATTGGATCCGCCATTTTGAAATTTGACGTGTTAGAGAGAATCTAACGACAGAATCGAATTCAGTGTAAAAAATATGTTAAAAAAATTCTTCCCTTCTCGCCTCAACCCGTTTCAGCGCCAACGTTTTCCGTATAACTGAGGTTCCAGTGTACCTTATTTCTAAAAATTACCGCAGTAGACCTTTTCATCTCGAATAGGAAATGAAGAATGCGAAAATGTAAAACAATAAGAAAAGGTTACATTTACTCGAAATATCTTTGCAACAAGAAAGAAAGAAAGAAAAAAGTTAATTTTAAGTTAAGTTTTAAGTTTACTGCAACTATCATATCAGTGAATGGACCAGATCAACTAAACTAGTTTTATTGTTAAATTAAATTAATTTCTCTCTTAAAGTGAGAGAAATTTTTTATTATATGTACCAAAAGGCAATGTTTTTACATTCGGATTTTGATTTTAAAAAAACTTCTATACTTATTAAAAATTTGAGAGCCCTCCTGTCATCAATTATTAGCTTAAGATCCTTATCGCAATTAATATCACACTGTATAAAAAGTAACTTTGTGTTCTGTTTTCTTAAGTGTTCAACTGCTGTGAGTTTTTCTTATACATTTTCTATGATAGATGTGACGCAAAGTCAGGGGATCAAAGCGTTTAAATTAGAATAACTGATTATTTGGAAAACACCAAGATTTAGATATATATCGGCCTTTCAGTACTATCTGCATAAAAAATTGTGTATTCAAATATATGTTATATTTTTTACAACATGAAAATTTTGTAAATAGTTATAAACGTCAAATTGAATATATAATGGAAGGATGACAGTTGTTTTATTGTCAGTAAACATGTTGGAACATGTGCGTTAGTTTATATATAAGATTTGAATACAGAGTAGAGGATTTTTATTATAATTTCAAATTTGTATTTGCAATTATATGGTGACATTTTTTTTTCTCTTATTGGAAGATAAATGACTTACTATACTTGTTTTAACATTTCGATAGTTAGATTTTTATTACTAGGCCTGTGGATTAAATGCAACAATTTAATGGGACTTCAATCTGTTCCAGCCTAA